ATTGCAGGCATACAAGAATGTTTTAAAGCAAGCAGTCGCATGAGTAAAAGGCCTAGAAGATGAGTCGATCACATCGCTTGAACAATTATCTTTTTGCATAATTATGTTTTAACTACTTTTTGAGGATGGATCAGTCTTGCTGGATTATTAACGTCTGATCATTTCGTCCTTTTCACCTGCCTTTCCTTACCTTTATCCTTTTATTGACTTCTATGAATGACGTTCTTTCATCTAATCTCGATCGCTCTCTTACTTAAACATATTTGTCAGTTAGTTTATGACTCATTTCTTTTCACATTTCAATATTTACACATTTCAACAATTTTTTAAACCGTTTTAAGTTAATGTGCTTTGCAACGAATAATTAATTTAACATGTGCTGATGTTACGCAACTTCTCCTTTTTCTATCCACTAATGTGTCCTTCTTACCTGCTTCCGTTTAAAATTGTTGCTAAAATGACATTTACTCTATTCCTGAAGGAAAAATATCATTAACAGTATAGAAATACTAATATCTTGATTATCTGATTTGCATTTCTGTATTGATTTCACTGCAAAACAAAGGAATGAAGCAAAAAGAGAAATTTAACAGTTATAAGAAACACTTTGCGACAAATCCATTGAGGTTTTGAATATATTCCAAAGCTTTTATCAATCTCAAATACGTACTTTTTGTTTTTGCCTGAAGAAAAAATCGCAAAATGAGGTGCCATTCATTGAAAAAGACACATTAGCTCTATTGAAAAATTTGAAGGCCATTCGGCCAAATTTTGTTGAATCATTCTTTGTCACGACATATTCCATCAGAAATGTTGTACTCTGTAGGGCCAGTGCAACCGGTCTTCATTATTCCAGTTACATTTAGAAATATCATTTTTATACGAAACAAAACTCTAACTTGTTGATAAATTTTCATTCGGCGCAAAAATCAGATAGCAAACTGGGCTGAGTGTTGTTGACATCGGTGGGTTTATTCATAAACTTATGGGTTACTTTGAAACTGACCTTTCACTGATGTCTTTTAAGGTTAGGAGAGTGTGGAAAATGCTTTATTTTCACCACACTATTAGCTGGCAATTTTTTTTCTTCGTTTGGTTTCTCTTTATCGGTATTAAAATATTGAGGTTAGCACCGTTCATTTGGAAACCAAAGATATAAGGAGGCTTTGTTTCATTTCTCGAATCATTTTATTGATTGTTGAATGATAAGCGATAGATCGATAATCAATTGTTCCTTAGCAGCTCTGCCTTCATCTTCCTTGCTTCATTCTTCTTTATCATATTTTCTTGAAGCAAAAAATTTAGCAGATATTCCTAGTTCATGAAATATAAGAGCTGATAAGTGTCATTGACCATATAAAAGTTCCAAACAGTGCTAAACGAAAACTGGTAATTTCATTCCGGATTTAACTTCTCTCGCTATAATAGAAGATAGGTCCTATATTTCTAGTTTTCGAAAATACTAAAAGTATCTAATTTTTGAAGTAATTTCTCAACTAGACTTTTCTTGGAGCCGTAAATGAAAGCTTTTATCACTTATTATAGATTTGAATTTTTTTACACCTACTTTTCATGATATCATTCGTTGAAAATAATTTCAAATTGTCGAAATCTTCAAATTTATGAGTTTTTATATCACATTCATCCTACATCCTAATTTAAATCGAATCTTAGATTTAAATCACTCTTTGTTAAAGTTACTCGTTTTGGTATCAGTGAGAAAGGATTTTTTTTTCTTACTTAAAATATAATTCCTGTGATAAATTAGATCAAACATATCTTCGGAATACGAGATGGGCGATCATAAGACATGAAATCCAGAAGGACTTAGGAGTCAAACGGCACGTCATCGCTTGGATTATTTGAATCCCTTACATCATTGTGAGGAAGGTTGTAAAGGTTTTGCCGTAACCCGTGGAAGTAATCTGAATTATTTATTTCAAAAGGAATACACTACATTCAACTGCATAATCCAATCAGTGATTGAATCTCAAAAAAGGCAGTTGTAGAATCAACAGAACAGGATAAGGATGACAAACAAGTTTTTCATCACTTATAAGAAAAGTACTGGCGTTGGAAATAAATGATAATGATTTTATCAAATGTCACTTACAAGACTGTCAGTGTTTCTGTTGAAATAAAATTGTTAAAAACGCAAATTTTTAATTTTATTTAGATGAATTTTTCATACTATAAGTTGATGACGACAATGGTGCGACTGATATCAGAGGAAATTCAACAGATGGAAATATCGGTGAACTGAGAAGGAAATGCTACGCGAATTTATAATCATTACAATGGGAATGTTAATAACCGTATTATGGATCGGTTCATTGCGCCGTTCCATTGAAGGTGCCAACTTCCCGTACCCCTTCAATCAGCAAAGTATGTATATTTTAATTTATCTTCATTTCTCCAACATCTCATCAATTACATATGACAGCACTTCTCTGTACATATATCAAGAAGAACTGATTCACTCTTTCATTTTCAAAAATAATGTCATTCTTTCTCTTCAGATTAACTGGTTTTTTATCAGCTGGCGGCTTTGTAACATTCTGTTTGGTTGTTAAATGAGAACTGAATGAATGATTCCTTTAAATGTTTGATGACTTAAACTTATTCTGGTCAACAGAACTGCTGATCATTAGACTCATTCAGTTACCACAACCATCCACTTTTCTTGCTTACTGGCAAATAAATTTGGAATTTTTTTAAAAAAAAACGAACTATTTCTTCATCCATTTCTCCTGCATATGATAAGCAATTTTATAATTTTTAGTTCAAGCGGAAAATCTTTTCAATGCAACAGCAAAAACAAATATTGAAGAATTGCCATTGGATAGAGTTAAAGCAATTAAACGAAAGGTTTTCTTTTCCATTATGATGAAATTCCATTTCTTTCATTTCTATTGCTAAGATGTCATTTTGCATTTCTCGTTAATTTTAGCTTCCTTTGCTATCAGTCTATGTTCTGGAAGATAAAATATGCAAGCAATTACTAATGGGCTCAAGATACTCAAAAATGTCACAAATGAGCAAAGTTGGTGATTTCATGTAAACTACTTCATACACTTCCATTTTTTCGAATTATTTTAATATCACTCGAATAGATTTCAAAATTAAATCAGACTTTTTTTTCCAAGTACATAACAACAGTGGACAAAAGTAGTGATGAACATCTGGATACTTCCTGTGACGCTATCCGGCAACGAGCCTTTTATCCTACAACGCCATTCTCAAGTGCTGAAAAAAATTTCCCAATTGCATTCATCAGGATTGTTTACAAGGTTAGATATATCTTAAGGGGCCTTATCGTCTTTGGATCAGTCCGGTAATTATGCAAAGAGTATTATTAACGATGTCCCTGTCCTTTATCCAATATTCTTCCATCCTCTGTTCTAATGTCATTGTTGCAGGATTTTCATTTGCAAGAACTTCTGTTCAATTTGATGTATGCACCACAAAATTTGTACTGCTATGCATTAGATGCCAAGTCCACATCATTGTTTCATTCACAAATGCGCAATTTGTCAAGGTGTTTCCCGAATGTATTATTAACCCGACAGGAATATGAGGTTGATAGTGCGGGACATAACACTTCGCGCAGTTTTCTGGAATGCTTGCGTGCAATACGAAGTTTGCCAGATTGGAAATATGCTATCTTATTGCAGGTTGGCCCTTTTCATCAATTTTTATTTTCTATTGATCGTCCTTATTTCACTACTTCTTATAATCATTTTTAAACTTTGGGCTACTTTTTATGTTACTCATGCGGATAGTTTCTATCATTTTCATTTTTCGATTCCAGAAAAGATCAGTTTAAACGTTCCCAAGGCAGAAAATTAGATCCTCATTTAGAAACTTCAGAACAATGATATCCCAGTTAAAAGCAATCGAGAGATGGTACAAATTTTAAACGCTCTTAATGGAAGTAACGATATCAACGTTGGGTATCCGAATGCAGATCGTGTACCTAAGGGCGCTCCCTGGACATTTCGAGCACTCGCACTCTTCAACGGTCAGCGTCTTTGGTGATTATATTTTGTCCCGAAGTTTCAAAAAATATTAAAACTTTCATTTGAATAATTTTCACTTTCTTCTTTTTGAATTGTTTTTTTTTTAAATCAATCTGATCAGTATTAACTTTTTAGACGACAAGCAGAACGATGATCGCAAGTTACGGATAGCAAAAGGAAGTACATCAGCATCATTGAGTTATTCATTTGTAGAATTCGTTGTTGACAAGTTGAATCTGACTATTTTGCTTGATAAGTTCGATCGTCTAAGCTACGGAGGTGATGAAATGTTGTTCTCATCATTGAATTCCGAGGACTCTTTGGGTTAGTACTTAATGTGGAATTCCCCTCTACTCTGCTTTAAAATAGCTAAGTTGGCAAAAAAAAAAATCCAAGAACTGTCATTATTTCCATGAAGATAACGTTTCATATTCCAGGTGCACCTGGTGGATTCACACGGCAGTGCATTAATGTTTATAACAATATGATCACCAGGTATTTTATTATCATTGTTACTATTACTTATAATGGTTAGTTTAGTGAGAGTAAATTGAATGAAAGCTTGAAAACTCATCTTCATAAGCTCTCATTGGGATGCCTAACATTGAAATTAGGAAATCATGAAAGCTAATTGATTAGCTAACACAGCTGGACTATACGCTTATGAAGCTCGGAATAATTCATGGAAATATTGTATGATGGCCGACTAGCTCAAAAGAAAGCAATCGTTACTGGCAGTTTGACATCTAAACAAGCTATCGATA